TATGTGACCCAGGACCACAAAACCAGTCATAAGGGTCAATTTTTCTGTTAGGATTACAGATTTCTGTTACAATTTTTGTTAGGATAGGACAATATTTGGCAGAGATACATGTATTTTTGTCTATTACTACAAATATACCCAAGCGACTTAAGACCAGGGTCCAGGGTCACATATGTTTTTGTTTTGTTTTTTTGGAGCAGAATGGCTTTGATGAGGCGTTTCTGAAGGATGCATTGCTGGATAGAATTAAGGACGATATGCCAGAGATTGTGCTATCTGCCCTTAAAGCTTTGCAGGTAAAATGACAACGTCATTAATGTAATGTGTTTTGGTGATGTAAACTTCAAACCTGTCTTATTTTTGGTACAATCTAAATGTTATGTTATGGTTCCCTGACAGCTTCACATAAAAGAAAAATCAATAATTTTAACCCATACAGTGTATTTTTGTCTATTACTACAAATATACCCAAGCGACTTAAGACCAGGGTCCAGGGTCACATATGTTTTTGTTTTGTTTTTTTGGAGCAGAATGGCTTTGATGAGGCGTTTCTGAAGGATGCATTGCTGGAGAGAATTAAGGACGATATGCCAGAGATTGTGCTATCTGCCCTTAAAGCTTTGCAGGTAAAATGACAACGTCATTAATGTAATCTGTTTTGGTGATGTAAACTTCAAACCTGTCTTATTTTTGGTACAATCTAAATTTTATGTTATGGTTCCCTGACAGCTTCACATGGACCTTATGCATGCAGAGGAGACCGTTTCCTGTTTGATTTCACTTCTTCATCGCATCAAACCATCAGCGGAATGGTTAGTTAACTGATGTTATACCTTCATTCACTCTAGAATGATACAAATGTAAGTCCTCTTAAAAGGGGCATCGGATGAAAATTTCACTTCTTTAGCTTTTTTTTTGCATTTACAGGGCTCGCAAAATCGCTAGCCCAACATCCCGGGGCTATTGTGTTTTCCAGTCAGGCTACCAAAATATCACCGCCCTGCCCGACGGCATCTTAAATGCAGGGTTCCTTTAGTTGCCTCAAATTTAAGGCCATGAAAAGTCTTAAATGGTATAAGAAAAGTCTTAATTATAATTTCAAGAGGTCTTACATTTGGGGACGGAAAGACAAGAATTGTGATATGGATGAATGTGACAACTGAACTACTAAAGGCTGATTTCATTATGAGCGCTGCACGTTTCAAAGTCAAAACACGGCGCGGGTGTTTTATGTGAATGAATCTCTGAAGGGAACCGACTGTAAAAGTTTCTATGTCATATGTGCCTATAGTGACTTGAAATGCTGCCTAGGTAGGCAGCGTAATAGGTTTTGTAATGTATCGTTAAGCTAAACTGCTCTTTTCATCCACGATATTGAAAATTTGATTATTAAATTGGATGATTAAGGGGACTGTAAGTGATATTAAGTAATTATGTGACTGTTTTACACAAACAGGTACAATTTTATTAACTCACAAATGCAGCCAAAATATAACATGAACATTTAATTGAAATCATGTGTCCCAATTGGGAAATCCACAACAAAAACACTTTTTTAAATAATGTAGGAATATAGATAATGAATTTTCCACACTAAGAAGGATACACCAGCTTAGCTCTATCTGGTCTTGCTTTCCACAGGTGTTCGGTGCTAAAAGAGGCTGTGCGAGTTCTCGATGACCCGTGTATTTTTGAGGGCAACCCAGATCTTAAGGCACAGATTAGTTGGGAGATTCTGCCCTTCTTGGTGTTGACCAATGCTGCGCCCAAGTGTGTGGAGCTGCAAATGGCATCTTGTGTTGCTGAAACCACTTTGCTTTCCCAGCATCCCCTTACTCATGGTTGGGCCAAAGGTAAACACTCCTGCTGTTTTACAGTGAAATCTATTTTACAGCAAGAAGAAAAAATTTATATTTAATAATAAAGCCTACTTTATCAAATTTAATATGCACATTTCTAAGGCCTCTAAATTATCAGCACAGTCAAAACATGAAATGAAATACCTTTGCACAATTCTTCATGCCTTCTGATATTTGAGAAACGTAAGAATAACTTTTAATTTGATAGTAATGTTTCAGGATTAACACTTTTGGACTGAAGCAACTTGGGTTTATTTGGTTATCCATTCCTCATTAAAAAAAAAAAAATGTTAATGTATCAAATATGATACATCATGTTTATTTGTGCATCTCTCAATCATCCTTGTATTGCATGCCATTATATGTTTTGCCCCCAACAATAAAAACTACAGAAATGTATGATATGACATGATATAGAACTTGATAACTTGATATTATATAGTTTTTTTTTTTACCCTTCTTGAGCTCCATATTCTCCTATATCGTGCTATATGAGCCATAATAGCCTAATGTATCAAATATTTTTAGATTTTGTCTAAAGTTTTAATAAACTGTCCTGTTGCAGAAAAATCTCTGGAATGGTATTTTCTGGGAATTACCCAGAATCAATATCCAGTAGAAATTTCCTTACATTCACAACATGTTTACCTTCCTTAATGTTAATTATTTCTGAGTAAAAAAAAAAAGATATATGATTGGTTGGTGAAAACTAGGCTGTTACATTACTGGTTATTATTATTTTTGCTTCAAATAGTCAGAGGAAGAGAAAGATGGATGATAATTTGATTAAATCCGTACTGATAAATTTCTTGTTGTCTTGATGTGTTTTCTTTCTTTATAGTGCTGAAGGATGTTCTGGTCAAAACCTCTCCATCAGATATGCTGGGTGTAGCCAACCAAATGCTTACTACAACTCTGATCAAGAACTTGGCCAATATGGATCATGCAACCAAACGCAACACTGTAAGTGTCAAACTTCCTGTCCAAGCTTAAAGGAATGGTTTACCCAAAAAATTTGAAAATGTTCTCATTTACTCACCCACATGTCGTTCCAACCCTGTATGCATTTGTTTCTTTGAATTTTATTTTGTCCATACAATGAATTATTTAATTAATCTATTTTAATTAATCCAATGTTGCATTCTTACAAATATTTTTCAATATTCAATCTCGATAACAAACCAACATTATCTTTGCTTAGTTTGAACTGTGTTTTCTCATGCGTGTATCTTGCAGCTGCAGAATGTGTGTGATATCCTGAGCCGTCAGGGCAGCAGTGTGCAGGAGAGAGCAGCATTTGTGGTGCTCAGTAATGCACTGCTACAGAGTCTGCAGTCCATGACGGAGAGTCAACACCTCCACACAGCACAGTGTGTGTACAAACTACTGGAACCTTTACTGCTACAGGTCTACACAGTCCAACCTGAACAGGTCAGAGCACAAATGCAGAAACAAATGGCTTCAAATTACTTCTTCAAATGCATTGACACAGCAATTCTGGCCAGTACCAATTTCAAGAGAATTTTGGCTAGGGATGCATGATGTTTATATTGGTGTCGACCATAGTTTTAAAAAAATTATTGGAAGTGGATATTATACAGAAGATTTGCTCTAAAACATTTTTTCTAACTTTTAAATTTAAATTGAATGTGTTTTTTAAAAAAAAAATAGGCAAAGCTTTATACATTTGCAATATCTAGTATTGCCTGAAACTTCTCTCAGCCAATATTTCCATATCAGTGCTGTTTCCAATATTACACATTTGTTGTATTTTAATTTTAAAAAAAACACACACAAACTTTCTAAAAACCTAATTCGGAATGTTATATGCTGCGAATATTGTCAGAGGATCTTGGTCATGTAAAAATTAAGTTTTAATATATTTACAGTAGGAAATTTACAAAATATCTTCATGGAATATGATCTTTACTTAATATCCTAATGATTTTTGGCATAAAAGAAAAATCAATAATTTTAACCCATACAATGTATTTTTGTCTATTACTACAAATATACCCAAGCGACTTAAGACCAGGGTCCAGGGTCACATATGTTTTTGTTTTGTTTTTTTGGAGCAGAATGGCTTTGATGAGGCGTTTCTGAAGGATGCATTGCTGGATAGAATTAAGGACGATATGCCAGAGATTGTGCTATCTGCCCTTAAAGCTTTGCAGGTAAAATGACAACGTCATTAATGTAATGTGTTTTGGTGATGTAAACTTCAAACCTGTCTTATTTTTGGTACAATCTAAATGTTATGTTATGGTTCCCTGACAGCTTCACATGGACCTTATGCATGCAGAGGAGACCGTTTCCTGTTTGATTTCACTTCTTCATCGCATCAAACCATCAGCGGAATGGTTAGTTAACTGATGTTATACCTTCATTCACTCTAGAATGATACAAATGTAAGTCCTCTTAAAAGGGGCATCGGATGAAAATTTCACTTCTTTAGCTTTTTTTTTGCATTTACAGGGCTCGCAAAATCGCTAGCCCAACATCCCGGGGCTATTGTGTTTTCCAGTCAGGCTACCAAAATATCACCGCCCTGCCCGACGGCATCTTAAATGCAGGGTTCCTTTAGTTGCCTCAAATTTAAGGCCATGAAAAGTCTTAAATGGTATAAGAAAAGTCTTAATTATAATTTCAAGAGGTCTTACATTTGGGGACGGAAAGACAAGAATTGCGATATGGATGAATGTGACAACTGAACTACTAAAGGCTGATTTCATTATGAGCGCTGCACGTTTCAAAGTCAAAACACGGCGCGGGTGTTTTATGTGAATGAATCTCTGAAGGGAACCGACTGTAAAAGTTTCTATGTCATATGTGCCTATAGTGACTTGAAATGCTGCCTAGGTAGGCAGCGTAATAGGTTTTGTAATGTATCGTTAAGCTAAACTGCTCTTTTCATCCACGATATTGAAAATTTGATTATTAAATTGGATGATTAAGGGGACTGTAAGTGATATTAAGTAATTATGTGACTGTTTTACACAAACAGGTACAATTTTATTAACTCACAAATGCAGCCAAAATATAACATGAACATTTAATTGAAATCATGTGTCCCAATTGGGAAATCCACAACAAAAACACTTTTTTAAATAATGTAGGAATATAGATAATGAATTTTCCACACTAAGAAGGATACACCAGCTTAGCTCTATCTGGTCTTGCTTTCCACAGGTGTTCGGTGCTAAAAGAGGCTGTGCGAGTTCTCGATGACCCGTGTATTTTTGAGGGCAACCCAGATCTTAAGGCACAGATTAGTTGGGAGATTCTGCCCTTCTTGGTGTTGACCAATGCTGCGCCCAAGTGTGTGGAGCTGCAAATGGCATCTTGTGTTGCTGAAACCACTTTGCTTTCCCAGCATCCCCTTACTCATGGTTGGGCCAAAGGTAAACACTCCTGCTGTTTTACAGTGAAATCTATTTTACAGCAAGAAGAAAAAATTTATATTTAATAATAAAGCCTACTTTATCAAATTTAATATGCACATTTCTAAGGCCTCTAAATTATCAGCACAGTCAAAACATGAAATGAAATACCTTTGCACAATTCTTCATGCCTTCTGATATTTGAGAAACGTAAGAATAACTTTTAATTTGATAGTAATGTTTCAGGATTAACACTTTTGGACTGAAGCAACTTGGGTTTATTTGGTTATCCATTCCTCATTAAAAAAAAATAAATGTTAATGTATCAAATATGATACATCATGTTTATTTGTGCATCTCTCAATCATCCTTGTATTGCATGCCATTATATGTTTTGCCCCCAACAATAAAAACTACAGAAATGTATGATATGACATGATATAGAACTTGATAACTTGATATTATATAGTTTTTTTTTTTACCCTTCTTGAGCTCCATATTCTCCTATATCGTGCTATATGAGCCATAATAGCCTAATGTATCAAATATTTTTAGATTTTGTCTAAAGTTTTAATAAACTGTCCTGTTGCAGAAAAATCTCTGGAATGGTATTTTCTGGGAATTACCCAGAATCAATATCCAGTAGAAATTTCCTTACATTCACAACATGTTTACCTTCCTTAATGTTAATTATTTCTGAGTAAAAAAAAAAAGATATATGATTGGTTGGTGAAAACTAGGCTGTTACATTACTGGTTATTATTATTTTTGCTTCAAATAGTCAGAGGAAGAGAAAGATGGATGATAATTTGATTAAATCCGTACTGATAAATTTCTTGTTGTCTTGATGTGTTTTCTTTCTTTATAGTGCTGAAGGATGTTCTGGTCAAAACCTCTCCATCAGATATGCTGGGTGTAGCCAACCAAATGCTTACTACAACTCTGATCAAGAACTTGGCCAATATGGATCATGCAACCAAACGCAACACTGTAAGTGTCAAACTTCCTGTCCAAGCTTAAAGGAATGGTTTACCCAAAAAATTTGAAAATGTTCTCATTTACTCACCCACATGTCGTTCCAACCCTGTATGCATTTGTTTCTTTGAATTTTATTTTGTCCATACAATGAATTATTTAATTAATCTATTTTAATTAATCCAATGTTGCATTCTTACAAATATTTTTCAATATTCAATCTCGATAACAAACCAACATTATCTTTGCTTAGTTTGAACTGTGTTTTCTCATGCGTGTATCTTGCAGCTGCAGAATGTGTGTGATATCCTGAGCCGTCAGGGCAGCAGTGTGCGGGAGAGAGCAGCATTTGTGGTGTTCAGTAATGCACTGCTACAGAGTCTGCAGTCCATGACGGAGAGTCAACACCTCCACACAGCACAGAGTGTGTACAAACTACTGGAACCTTTACTGCTACAGGTCTACACAATCCAACCTGAACAGGTCAGAGCACAAATGCAGAAACAAATGGCTTCAAATTACTTCTTCAAATGCACTGACACAGCAATTCTGGCCAGTACCAATTTCAAGAGAATTCTGGCTAGGGATGCATGATGTTTATATTGGTGTCGACCATAGTTTTAAAAAAATTATTGGAAGTGGATATTATACAGAAGATTTGCTCTAAAACATTTTTTCTAACTTTTTAAATTTAAATTGAATGTGTTTTTAAAAAAAAAATAGGCAAAGCTTTATACATTTGCAATATCTAGTATTGCCTGAAACTTCTCTCAGCCAATATTTCCATATCAGTGCTGTTTCCAATATTACACATTTGTTGTATTTTAATTTTAAAAAAAACACACACAAACTTTCTAAAAACCTAATTCGGAATGTTATATGCTGCGAATATTGTCAGAGGATCTTGGTCATGTACATCATAAGAAAAAGGAAATGTTCATTTCTGTTTGAGTTATGAAAAAACAACCTTTTGTTATCAGCACCTTGTACTTCCAGTGTTGACTGCTGCTGATAATTATAGAATTATACATTTTAATATATAGTGATACAGTTACTAGTATATTGTGCATTATATTATCTACACTGTTATTTAGTTGAAATTACACAATTGTATTTAGGTCTAATGTTAATTTTTACTTCTTTTAATGTATGTTAGGCTTCTTGTGAGGAGGTAAATGAGTGTCTGCCAGTCTGTGTGATACTGGGTGAGTTTCTGCAGAAAATGAGCTCTGGCCTCAATGCAGAGAGAGAACAAGGCCTCCTCCTGCTGTCACTCCTGCGGCTTTTCATCACGGCACTCAAATGTCCAGATTCCACATTTAAAGGTACAGGACTGCTTATTTAGCTGTGAACTGTGATGTGATTGTAATAAATATTACACACATTTATGTATTCGTTTGTGGCATCTTACATTTTATGTAAACTGAAAGAATTCCCATCTAAATATTCACACTATTTAAATCTTTTTATATGTACTACCATTCAGAAGTTTTGGGTCGGTAAGATATATATATATATTTTTTTTTAAAGAAGTCTCTTATTCCCCCCGAAGACTGCATTCATTTAATCAAAAATACAGTAAAATTACTGTAATATTGTAAAATATTATTACAATTTAAAATAACGTTTGAAATTTTATTTATTTGAAAATTAAATTTATTCCTGTTATTCCAAAGATGAATTTTCAGCAGCCATTTGGTGCTCAAGGAACATTTATTATTATTATCAATGTTGAAAACAGCTGCTTAATGGTTTTGTCATACAATTTTGTGTAATCTTTTTTTTTTTTTTTTGACGAATAGAAAGTTCAAAAGAACGGCATTTATTTTAAATATTGTTATTTTTTAATTTTTTTTGTAACAGTGTAAAAGTAGTTACTGTCAATTTAATGCATTCATGATGAAGAAAAGTATAAATTTATTTTACTAAAAAATTTATTGACCCCCAAACTATTGAACGGTAGTATTCATCTGCATAAATTTCCTTGTTAAATGTAAAAGAAAGAAAAGTGTTTTTCAAAGGGTAATCATTTTAAGACAGCAGGGCATTTCTTGGAATAGAGGCATTTACTTAATTCACTACAGATATTTGATATTTGATGTTCTCAAAATGTCCAAATGTGAATCAATTAATTTGCCTGAATAATTATCTAAAAAAAAAAAATTTTTTTTTGCTAAAAATTCATTACTGTGTATAATGTAATTGTTAGTTAACAAAGTTGTGTTTTTCAGATGAGCCATGGTGGAACCCAGAGAAAATGGACGCCAATACCTGCTGTTACGTGCATCTCCTGTGTCGTCTGTTTGACTTAGTGATATCTGGGGCCAGTCAAGGGCCCTTGGCTCTCTGCTTCAAGAGCCTAATGCAGCCTCTGTTACAGGTACTGTATTCTCTTTACACATATACTGTTTAGCACACAACTCTACACTAAACCTCTCTAGGTGGAATAACATGCTGTTAATTTTAGAATTTTACTGATGTAGCTGAGGCACATTAGTGGTTTGTATAAATATGCAGTTCTTGAACATGTTTTTCACTTTTGCCATTCTATAATTACGCCACATACAGCCATTGTGATCATCAGGAAATGCTTGATTGAAGTTTTTTTTTAACATTACTATTTATTTTCATTAAAATCAATGGCATTGACTAGATGGCTAATTTCTTTCTGGCTTTGTCATTTTGCAGGTTCACCTGAATGAGCCGACAACCCTCTTTAAGTTCCTCTCTCTTTTATGGGGCTACAACAGTAATTTAGGTGATCAGTTGGATTGTCGAGTTAGTGCCATACTGCAAACTCAGGCTCTTTATGTGGGAAAGGCTTTGCTTTGCAATCAGCCAATAAAAACCCTCAACGTGCTGGCATCAGGTTCCTCACCAGGTATGTCAATATGGTCTCTCTCGCGTCTGTGTTAGTTCAGGGTTTCCCATACATTGACTTATTTGTGGCAGCCCGCCACAATATCAACACTGACCGCCACAAATAGATTTTCCAAAATGCTTTGGCTTCGTTGAATAAACATGAGCTCTGCACGGTTCAAAGTCAAAACGCGGCACGGGTGTTTTTATATGATTGTATCGTTTTTGAAGGGAACCGATTGTCTTCAGAAAAGTTTTGATGTAATTTTCATGTAATCTTTCCTATAATGCCTGATAAAGCAGCATTCATGAGTGCAGCGCTGTTTTGTGTACAGCCATTACCGGGGAAACCGCTATTTCTGCTGCTCTTAAAGCGCCTCCTGCTGGCAGAGAATGAATGTGCACTTTCAATAAGCCCGTCTGCTGTTTTATATTTACAATATATACATATATATTTCCCCCAGGGGGGAAGTACCGCCACACATAAAGTGTAAGTCTGTGGAAACACTGCAGTTACATATGAATTGTTTTTGCTTGTTTTTTTTCTTTACAGGATGTTCTGAGTTAGTATATTTGCCACGACTGTCAATTATTTAATAATATATTTTAAAATCTGTTTAGAATTCAATCATGAATAATCTTATATTTTCAGAGTTAACAGTTACTTTTTAAGAAAAGATATCTTAGACCAGAAGATATCTACTTTTAAATTTTTATTGTTTTAGAATATTTTTTTTAGAGAGAGAGCTTGTTCTCAGCCATGACTAATGTGTAACTCACTGTGGTCTTGTTTTTGCAGTGGTGCCGTCCTTGCTGGTGTGTTTGTGTTCAGGCGTGTGTGAAGTTCGGAGAGCTGCCATTGCTGTGCTCCATTCTCTCTCAGGGGTTGTTTCTTCACCTTATTATCTACTAGTGGAGAACCTCCTCAAATCATCAGAGGAGATCATCGCTGACCCCTCTTACCTCAGCCAGGTCAGTCAAAGCATGATACTTGCTGCATTAGCTTTGTATAGCTTTGGTAAACAGGATTTTTCTCCTTGCTTGTGTTGCATAAGTTCTAGAAGTGTTGGACGCATAAATCAAAACTATGTAAGAAATAACACTTCTGATTTTACCGTAGGCACTGTCCAAGATGTATGAGGAGGCACTGTTATTGAAAGATAAAAAGAAAAAGCTGGCATCAATTGAGCAGCTTCTGCAGTGTGTGCAGTTACCTTGCTGCCCTTCCTACACCTGTAAAACACTGCTGCGAGCACTTCAGGATGTTCATGGAGAGGTACTGTCAACAAACTGATCATAGTTTGCGTCTCCTTGAGTAGTGTGTTTAGCAATTTGATTTATATAAATGCGTTTTGTGCGGTCCATGTAATCAGGTGTCCTAGTTCACAAGTGCTCCTAAAAAGAGAAGTAAGCGTAGATCCCTGGGTGGGACTCAGACTACATTAAATATGGGTTTTCTTGCAGTGTGGATAAATATGTTTTTTTCTGACCATAATGTCTTTGAGCATGAACTCAATGGCAGTCAAGAGACATCTAGAAAACAAAATTGTCCGTTATCTTGTCGTTGTAAAACAAAAACAAACAAAAAAATTAAAATTGTCGTCATTTACTCGCTTTCATGTCATTCCAAACTTTCATGGCTTTCTTCTGTGAAGCACACAAGATTTTTTTGAAGAATGTTTTCGAATTAATCACGAACTTTCAAACTTCTTTTAAGCAGAAGTGAAGCTTTTCCAATTTCATTGGTTTCATGATGACAGGATTTTAAAACAAAAACCAAAACATTTTTAAAGAAAAATGAACCTGTTAACCTGAGACATTTTTTTGCTCACCTTTGTACGATAACAGGGTTGTGTGCTTGCTTTTTTTGTTGGACCACTTGCAATCCTAATTAGACACATGTTGAAACACAGGCAAAAATTTAGGTGTACCTTCTGATCAGTGACTGCCATTAACTTTCCCATTACGGGAATTTTGTCCCATTATGTCATTTGCCCCCATAAATTGATTTCCAAAGGCATTTTTTTACCTTTAGGGCATTTTTTTCTAACCTGATTAGATGAATAATCTTTTATGTCAAATTCTTAAATTTTTTTTTTTTTTTTTTTAACAATTCAATCAGAGTAACAGAACATAGGCTGTTACCAATTATATGAAGTATCATTAAAATCCATCTGCACTGCAAAGGTGACAAACTGTATCTGAAGTTCCATTTACAAGTATTGACAAAAACTGTTTAATGCTGCTCAGAAGGTGGCATGAATGCATTTACACTGCAATAAGGATTATGTGTTGTTAGATTTAGGTGTGCTTAAATATTTTTTCACAGTCGCACATAGTAATTTTCAGTCACTTTTGTTTATTTAGTGTTTGATGCTAGTTTGTCCTGCTTATAATAATGCCCTTTGTCCAGCCTATTTTGGCCATTCTTCTGCCTGCTGTGGAGCGACTTCTCGAGCAGTGTGCTCCAGACTCATGCACCTTCCTGCCAGATGAGGCCCACCTCCTGCAGCTCCTATTGAGCAAGTTCAGTGAGGCGTCTGCACCTTTACTGGTCAAAGACCCTCGATGCCTAGAGGTCTTCATTAGGGCATTGGGCACCTCAGCCAAGCCGTACCCCTCTATGCCTGGTTTCCAGATTATTGCCCTGGAGCAGGTTGGTGGACGTTTAGAAAAAGCCTTCTGCTTGGAGATTGACAATGGGAAATTTTGGTCCGTTAAAATTCCTCATTTCAGTTTTGTTATCACATACTCCATCATTAATAAATTTGTCATTTATCATAGAATTGTCACTGTAATGTGTGAGGTAAAATAAAATAAAAAACTGTTGCACCTTATTGGACATAGATCATACTATATGTTCTATAATGATACATGTTGTGTTTGTAATTTGATTGCATGTTTCCTCAGATCACCAAGCCATTCTTCACTGCTCTTGGAGATGAAAAGATTCAACAGAAAATTCTTTCTGTTTTATTTGACTTGCTGGTGGGGAACAAAAACCCTGCCTGTGCCCAAGCTATCAACAGTGTCTTTAAAGTGGTATGGGAAATATTAATTTTCTTTTCATATTCATTTTAAATGATATTATTTAGAAGTAATTTTTTTTATTTTTATTTATTTTATTTATTTATTTATTTTTTGCTTATTCCGGAAATAACAATAACCCATGTTATGCTGTGTCCATGTTTCTAGATTGCTGTGGATGCAGAGCTAGTGGCCAATGAGCTGATGCCCGTAGATAAACAAAAGGTTACTGCAACAGTTCAACAAACACGCAGGAGTAAAATGCAAACTAGGTGAGTAGCTATCCTTAGTTAATCAACTCTGAATTCCAGTTCTGGAAGATTTGAAGATTTAAATTGCAGTCTTTTTTCCAGAAAAACACAAGAATCATCTGGGGCAGTGCCGGAGGAGAATGTTGTCTCTTGGCCAAGAGTTACCCTGATTTTAGAGCTTCTGCAACACAAGAAAAAGCTAAGGAGAGCCCAGTGTCTTGTGCCCGCTCTGTTTAATCTGCTGTCCAGGTATGTTAAGCTTGCATCTACTGCTATGTTTTGACATTTAACATTTTTGCAACTTGAAACTTGTAAACTTGTAAAATCAAAATGAATACATCAAATCTCACTGAGTGTTCTGATTGAGTATGCTCTGAAATATGTCACATAAAAGTATAATGGATTGTCAGTGCCATTTTATTTGTGTGCTGTAGATGTCTGGATCCTGCCGCAGCTGAACAGGAGAATCTCGAGTACACAAAACAACTCATCCTCAGCTGCCTGCTGAATGTCTGTCAGAAACTGTCTCCCGATGGAGGGCCTATAAGCAAAGGTACTAGCAATCTGGCATGAAATGGCTAAAAAAAGATTAGAAAGGTTATGATAAGGTCAAATGATTTTGTTGCTTTCTTTAGCCCTATGCGGGTGGTAATATTTTACATGTGAGATCATTTTGCAGACCTTACGAAATAATTGCCATCCAGGTTTTCTTGTCACTTTGCAGAGGATATAAGCACAGGCGTTCTCTTGAGTTTCTTTGAATCAGGAAACGTTGTTAGGAAATCTTGCATTTGTGTATGTGTGTGTGTGTAGATGTGCTGGAGGAGGATACATTTAATGTGGAGCTGGTAGTGCAGTGTGTCAGGATGTCAGACATGCCCCAAACTCACCATCATGCTCTCCTTCTGCTCGGTGCTTTGGCGGGTATCTTTCCTGTAAGTACAGTCATGAAACACTCACTCACACATACATTCAAACACAGTGGTAAACATTTTTCTCTCTCTGATTTTAGGAGAAGGTTCTTCACAACATCATGCCCATCTTCACATTCATGGGCTCCAACATCATGCGACTGGATGACACTTACAGCTTCCAGGTCATCAACAAGACTGTTCAGGCAGTCATACCTGCTCTTATAAAGGTATGTTTAAAATATGTTTGTTCTATATACAGTGTGATATATTTTAAGCATTTGAGTGTCTAATTTCTATAAGATCTTTAAAGATTTGAACAAACCTAAAATCTATAGTATTAAACTTCACCGTGCTGGTTTTGTAGGGGTGTGCGATATGTATGGCAATATCATAATCGCTGTTTAATGATGTGTGAGCTGGCATTGAGTATGTCACTCACTTTGTAAAAAACAAATTAAAACACTCGATTCTAGATATAGTGGTAAAAAAAAGACCCCGTGTGGGTTCATGTTTTTTATATTTACAACATAATATAGTTAAATAATGTCACATGAGCCATTTTCTTGAATATCAGCACTATTGCAAATGTGATTGATTTTATGCAACAGTTAAAGTTTGAATGGATCGGCTGAAGGACTCACTCATTCTGACACTGATTTGCTGTCACGTACTGGCAGTTCTAATTTTATATTTATGCATTTTTTTTGTTTTTTCCAATTGTCCAATTATCATTATTGAAAAAAAAGAATGATACTTCTTTGTATATGGCTTGTGACGTGACATGTGGCCAAGTATGGTGACCCATACTCTGCATTTAACCCATCCTAAGTGCACACACACAGCAGTGAACACACAAACACTGTGAACACACACCCGGAGCAGTGGGCAGCCATTTATGCTGTGGCGCCCGGGGAGCAGTTGGGGATTCGGTGCCTTGCTCAAGGGCACCTCAGTCGTGGTATTGAAGGTGGGAGAGAGCGCTGTACATTCACTCCCCCCACCTACAATCCCTGCTGGTACGAGATTCAAACCCGCAACCTTTGGGTTACGAGTCCGACTCTCTAACCATTAGGCCACGACTTATTGTAAATAGAAGTGTGCTATTACTGTTATAAGCAATATGACTTCTTTGGATTATTTTGCCTGGTGGATGATAAAATGGGTGACTTATACTAAAGGAGGGATCCAAGCCATATTTAGAGACCAGAATATCATAAACACCTTAAGGTGGACTCTTGTGACCTGGGCCATTAAGCAGTGCCTTGGCAACCCCCAGAATACACTAGAATTTGCATAGAAACACATTAAAGCCGCTCAAAACACCTTGGCAACTACCCTTGCAACCAAATACAACCTCCTATCATAGTGGTGGGGAGTTTTACACAGTTGTATACTCATTTTCTTCATAAAATGTGAAAGTTTTATTTTGCTGTTATTTAACAGAAAAAAGTAACCTGTAACAACTCAATTCTTATTTTCAATTCTTGTTTCTCCACAGGCCAATGAGGGTGGAAGTGCCCAGTCTGAGGGGCATATGGAGACTGTGGTATCACATATCGTGCATGTGTTTGTTGATGCCCTGCCTCATGTGCCCGAGCACAGACGCTTACCCATCCTCAGCCAGCTGATGAACACACTGGGGCCATCTCGCTTCCTCTGGGTCCTGATGCTGCTCCTGTTCAAGCAGCATGTCACACAAACATCTGTCAGTGCAAGTGGGGCTGAAAAGGTAAAGAAAGTTTCATGTATGTTTTTTACATTTCCAACTGTATTGATATTTTAGTTTTTTTGCCACTAAATAAGCAATGTCCAGGAAAATCCTATGGTACACTGGAAACCCATTTGTGTTATCTGTTGTGTAGGAGGCTGTTGTGGAGAGAGATCAGGACTTCTGGACCTCGGTGTGCTGTGAGTTTGAGGTAAAGGAGCAGCTGACCTCCATCATCAGAATCCTGCAGTATCTCATGACTCTACCACAGGACAAAGAAGAAGGTAAGAACTGCCCACTTCAATGAATTGCCACTGACTTTCTTTCTTTAAGTTGACAATATTGCTTTCTTGATTTTAATTGATCTTCATTTTGATGGACCGTTATTGATTAGACCAATCTTTAGTCTATGCTGTTTTCAGTTGATGTTTGAACAAAACTTCAAACATTATTTGTAGCGTGCCTGACATCCAGTAATAGCAATAAGCTTTGTGCTTTTTTTTACTTTTGATTATAAACAAAGTCTCCGCTTTGAAATTCTCTCACTTTTATTGTGAAATTCAAACAATAAATGCCGTTGACGCTCTTAAATGTCGCGTGACAGATCACTGTATCTGCCTCAGTTTAAGCAGCAGCACAGAGTGCATGTGAAACGATCGTCTCTTCCTATTTACTACTAGTTATAGCATGAAATAAACATTAATTAGCATAAAAAGATGTGTTGAAAGAAACAGTACAGCTTACTGAAGTGTATCATGTCAATGTATCTGTAAACAATGACACGTTATGTTTGCCTCAGGAAAGCCATGCAGTGTCCATAGCTCAACTTGGTCAACTTGAAAAAAAACTCCATAGAGGATTTTGTTAAATATATGCACTATATTACATATTTTAACTTAACTTGTTAGTAATGTTAAATGCATGTATGAATACGCATTTTTATGAAAGCAACTGTTTAACTTATATATTTATATATTTATATTATTAAGACGTTGATATGCGCAGTTTGTTTTATGTGCAATATTTGTATACAACACCGTTTATATTAGGTGTAGCCATTAAATTTTTTTGGACTCTGTTGTTAATTTTAACCTTTAGTATTATAGTAATGTACCTACAGACGGGGTTCCCTGTATGGTTTACAGCTTTATTGACAATTAGTTGAGAGCTGCTTTCTGGATCGACATCGGAAACCAATCAAGAGCTTGTGAACTGGGATCTGAATTGAATCTAGAAATTAAAGAACGGGGAAGAAAATTGTTTGATATATTCTCTGGGCAGCTCCGGAGAAAAAGAGGACCCGTGGAAGAAGTGCGGTGAAGAAGGCAGAAACGGTCTCTGATGTGATCTTCAACATGGAGGCTAATAGTGGCAAGGACCTCCGCCATTTTAAATTCCTCTCAGTCTCTTTTATGGCTCAGCTTTTGGCCTCTGACAGATTTGTTGGGAAGGTAGGTTTAGAATAGGAAGCAATCGATTTAATGTTGATATTAAAATGCCCCTAGGATTTTTCAGTAAACATCCTAAATGTGTAATTGTTTGACTGACAGGTGGCTGACTGTGAGGACTTAACAGAAAGCACCTTACAGACTCTTCAGCAGAAGTGAGTTGAAGCTTGACTATAGTACTTGACTTGATGGTGATTGGTTGTGGTGACATTGGCAGGGTGTAATGTTTGTGTTTACTTGTTAGTCTGCTGGAGGAGGTTCTGCGCTACATCCATGCAGTTGCTCGATGTGTAGAGGATAATGCAGACAAACCCACTGCTAAGTTCTGGAGAGCTCTGCTCAGCAAGTCCTATGACATCCTGGACAAGGTAGGAAGCACTGGATTGATCAGATATTATTGAGCATGTTTACATGCACACCAATACGCTGATGGCTACCAAAAATCAGTTTATTGAAATAACCCCTGTTTACATGCAAATCAATAACCTGGCAAAGCAAGTAAACCATGTTTACAAGAATTTTGGCAGTCAAGAAAGAGTTTGCTCTAGTTGGGTGCTCCTAAATCTGCAGTATATATCACACATGCCCACTTCATTAAGCCAACAGAATGCTGCGTTTAATGCTCGTTTATATCTTAACGGTGTTAAAGGAAAATGGAAATAGATTAGAGGAAATAGAATAACATGATACTTTTCTATTCTGAACTGAACCACAGTCAGTTTTCTTGAACTGGTGACTTCATTGAGCAGTTATTTTTATGTGTACACTTTAATTTGTGCACTAACATTCTTAAAACATGATCTGACATTTAGGTTAATGCCCTGCTGCCCATGGATTCCTTCATTATGGTAATGAGAGGCCTGATGGGTAATCAGTTAGCTTCAGTAAGAAGGAAGGCCATGGAGTTACTCAATAACAAACTACAGCAACGGACGCAGTGGGTGGAAGAACAGGTTAGTATGTAATGCAAACCAGTTTTAATGAAGCATTTTTAGAAAATGTTACATTTTATAACTTTGACTACCCATTCTGCTGAGCATTAGCTGATCACTTTGATTCCTCTATTTCTCTGACAGATTACTGTGCTTCTGGATCTCATTGGCGTCCTCCTAAATATTGTGGGTCGGAGTCACGGACAGGTCACGGCACAGGAAGAAGAAGAGCTGGCTATCAATCGACAGACGGCCCTTTACAGCCTTAAACTTCTGTGCCGAAATTTTGGCTCAGGCCACCAGGAGCCGTTTGTACCAGTGCTGAAAAAAGCGGTGGAGCTGGTTGCTGATAAAGATGAGGAAAAGAATGTAATGGGAAGTGCTCTGCTGTGTGTGGCTGAAGTGACCAGCACATTGAAAGCCCTCGCTATACCACAGTTACACAGGTACTGTTAAGCCCAAAGTAAGGCCTTTGGATTTTACACATATGCTAGCATTTAGTGTACAGTGCACATGGCATAAATTTCATCATGAATATAGTACATGTGCAGCCTGAATTACGTGTGCAGCCAGAATTTTCTAATCAAGCCTGTACTCTGTACTTTCAGTTCACACATGCCCTTTGAATTATTTTGTGCTGATTTGTTTGTGCACCAGGTGAAAACATTTGCACGAGTCGTTGTTTCACAGCTACTGGAGATGCTAAAACAGTTTTTGTTGGCCACCTGTGCTATCATATGCTATCAAACGGAGTGTACTTTGAAAGTCTATGTGTTCAGCTACATATGCTGAGTGTTCGTGTCAAAACTGAAGTTATTTTTGACTTTTCTTTGTTGGATTTTACATAAGTACGAAGTGTAAAGCTGACGAACAGTGTAATCACTAGGGTTGGGAATCTAGGAATGGTTCTAATTTTTAAGACATACTGGAAGTGAATGATCCTCATTACTTGTATATTAATGTGTTCTGTCTTCAGCCTTATGCCTGCAGTGCTGGACACTCTGAAGGAGAGAAAGGACCTGCTGAACAATGAAATATACTTGCTGAGCGCTGTCACAGCTCTACAGCGCGTATCAGAGACGTTACCACACTTCATCAGCCCCTACCTGGAGGACACCATCTCACAGGTCAGTATCAGTGCCACCTTGTTACTTTAAGTTAAACCTTAGAGCAGCATATGTTATTCAAATAAGTTTTATCTACAAGGTTACAATTCTCATTTGAATCTTCTCATTCTTCTCTGGTGCTCTAGGTCGCCCGCTTAACTCTGCTAGCCAAGCGACTGACATCCTGCCCTCAGCTGTCTGTACGTCTCTCCTCGCTCAGCACCACTCTTGCCACAAAGGTGCCTCCCAGGGTCCTCATTCCCACCATTACAAAATGCCACTGCACCATGGTGAATGTTCAGCAGGTAGGATTTGGTATATCAGAAATACCAAAGTGTTTGAATGGACACATGATCTTTTCGCAATTAATGGACACTCTATTGCTATTCTTTGTTTTATTTATCTGATACCCATATTTTCTATACCTGTTCAGAACCGTCTTGGTCCTCTGATGATCATCCTGAAGGAACATATAACTCACATGGAGAAGGACCAACTCAACAACCACCAATCAGAGCTCACTTCCTTCTTCCTGTCTGCTCTTGATTTCCGTGCCCAGCATTGCCAGGTACTATATACCCGTTTCAATTTGTTCTTTTTTTTTCAATAAGCGCATTAACTGATGATTACCAATATAACTTTATTGTTTAATAGGGAGATCTGAATAAGATTGGTGAGATCGAGGGCTATGTGATTGACTGTCTGTTAGTGATGGTTATGAAACTTTCAGAAATCACTTTCAGACCTCTCTTCTTCAAGGTAAGCTTCTATATTGTTCAGGTGAGAAAAAAGAACTTCCTCCAATAAGACAATATCTTGTTTTTAGATGCATAAATAATAATAGTGATGGGCTCTTTCGAACCACTGCTTTGTGAGGCACCAAAATCTTTGTGAATCTTTTTTTTCTTCGAACCAAGTCTCTATAGTTTTTACATGATCTTGGATCAGTTTTGTAATGTAGACTCATTAATGGCACATTTGTATTTGTTAAAAAAAAGAATCGTAGTAGTTGACTCTTGTTGGCCTGATTAGTCAAATCTTTCATAAATTGCAAAACAAACCCTACAACTTAATGCAACAACATATATTATACAGATACTAAATGTTTAATGGTGTTTGGTAATTTCTAGATTTGTATATCTAGAAAACATTTTGCAAAGTGATTGGTTCAGTTGATTCAGTTTCGAAAGCTAAATTTATCCCATTACTAAATAATACTTCAAATAGTACACCCAAAATTGTTAAAAAAAATTTACATAATATTTACATGGAATTCACTTTCCATGTTCCACTTTCACTTTCCATGAAGCTTTCGAGTCTGAGCTTTTGAATTCTGTTAATTTTAGTACAAAAATCAAATAATAAATGTTTTGGCAAATAGTAAATATTGTCATAAATGTGACATGAACCTGTATATTTACAGTGGAGAATTTTGCTAAATATATGCACTATATTACATTCATTATACTTTTACTTGTTAGTGATTCTCATTTTAACTTTTAATACTAATGTACAGACAGGGTTCCCTGTATAGTTTACAGCATTATTTGAGAAGACCGTACTAGGGCTGTCAAAAAAAATTTTAATTTCGAATATTCATCGAATTTAAAATAAAAATCCACATTGCATTCGAATTTTAGGTGTGCGTTAAGGAGGCAGCCTTATTAGTGGTGCACGAGATGCGATGATGATGTAAGCGTTGTTGCATTATAATGTATTTGCATTATCCTGTCCAGTTGAAGCCACTAGATGCGGCGCTGCTGCGTTGTTCATTAAAAATATTGTGGAAAAAGAAAATGTGGAGAAGATCTTGTTTACATCAAAACTGAAACCAAGCCGTTGCATATTTCGCGCATTTTCTAGAGGGATATCTATCACCGTTGCACTCGCGTCTCGCACAAAAGAGCCGCATGTTTAGAAAGCCATGTAAAATTAATGCAACTAACTTTTTTTATTTATTTAACTTTGAAAAAAAAAAAAACGCATATCTCGAGACTTTATGGCGGGGTTTCTTCCCCATCCCACTGCATCTCATCTTTTTAAATGAAAAATGTACTCTGTGTGATACGCTTTCGGCCCTTTGTATTAAACTGTGATTTCGGTCCTTTGTATTAAACTATGCATACATGCATGATGCTGTTTTGTTTATAGTTGTTTAAGCAACTTAATTATAATAGGTTTATAAACATTATTTTAAACATTATGCACTTTTTTCACAGATAGTCATGTTATCTTATGCTTTGAATAAACGTGCATTAGTAGTATTTTGCTCGATGCGCCCTCTTGTGGCCTCAGGAGAGAAGCCAAAAGCTTTTCTTCACCCTAACTGAAATTATGCAATTTAAATTTGAATATAATTATAAATATATATAAAGCATAATATTTAAGTACAAAATTCGAATGTAGTTTTTCAGCCATTTTGACAGCCCTAGACCGTACCTATGTAGAACATTGAATTCAATTGAATCAAGAGCTTCTGAACTGAAATTAAATTAATATTTAAATATTTCTGCGGTTTCGTGGGCATGGTGGTAGCTAATATACTGGTTGATTAATCAGTTGAAAACTAATTCTTTGTTGCCAAAATGTTACTTTGGTTATGAATTCTCTATTAGAATCAAAATGCATGCTGATTGAATCTTTTTTTTCCACTCTTCTGCAGTTATTTGACTGGTCAAAGATGGATGGTGCTTCTAAAAACCGCCTGTTAACGTTCTACAGACTGGCAGACAATATCGCCAACAAACTCAAAGGACTGTTTGTGTTGTTTGCTGGGCAGCTGGTCAAACCCATCTCTGAACTGCTGCGTCAGCTCAACATTTCTCACACAGGTAGTCTGCACATATCAATATGTTTGTATGAAGTTCCGAATACACCTGTAATGCCTCTTCGTTAAACTGTGCCAGCATTGACATGACCAGCTCATGCTAAGAAATGTGGAGTAAAATGTTTTGCATTTTAGAGATAGATCACTAGTAATTGTTCTTTATTTTTTTTTATTATTATTTTTTTTTTTACACTGATGTAATTTACTTCAACTGCCCCCAACCCCGCCACCCCCTCGGCCCATAGACAAACCCTTCTTCGATTCAGATGATGAGGAGGAGGATTCAGATGATGATGATGATGATGATGACGATAATGTGACAAAGAGCAGCCTGCTGCTGCAGTATGTGTTGGACTGCCTCCATAAAATCTTCCTCTATGATACTCAGCGCTTCCTCAGTAAGGAGAGGGCTGACGCTCTCCTGGGCCCCCTGGTGGATCAGGTCAGTATGGCACATAAACTGAATGCATCAAGAACTACAATCTATTCCCCATTTATGTTATTCCTTTGCAATAAGTTGTTAAATAAGCAAAGTTATTGGATAATCTGTTGGCATATTTTTTAGTTCAGATTGGGGACTTTCCTTGCAGCTTTCCTGAGTTCATTAAAAGTCTGAAATTCTTGAAAAGTCTTCTTATTAAAGACGTAATATAGCAGTTTTGCTTGACAATAACAAAATAGAGGTCAGGGTGGTGTGACCAAGTGTTTCTCAACCCTGTTCCTGGAGGCGCACCAAAGTACACATTGGATGTCTCCCTAATCAAACACACACAATTTAGCTCATTGGTAATAGGGGAGTGGAGGCAACCAAAATGTGTACCGTGTGCCTCAAGGACCGGAGTTGGTAAATGCTGGTGTAACCGACATGTGGGAACTAGGGGTGGAACAAGTCTATGGACTTATCTATTTGCACAATTTAAAACACAGTATTGCATTAAACAGTCAGTTGTCAAAATTGCCATTAAAACCGAAGTTAAACTTTAAAACACTGCAGGCTTCACTGTATTAATTTAAATATAATTTTTTTCTTATAAAAGCCACTTATTTAATCAAGAGCAGTGAGTCATTTTCTCTGTCTTTTGTTGTTGGATTAACATTAATGACACGGACAGCTGCAGGTATTTGCATTAGGCTTTAAGACCGAATGCACGGATCTACTTAGGGGCCAAGCACCAAAGGTGCGATGGCACCTATTGTATCCGTTGGCGTTCTTATTATTCTTCTTCTTTTTCCGCTCTGGAAGTCTATGGCAGATCATAGAACTGCTTGCGGGAAAGTTGTGAAATTTGGCACACTGATAGAGGACAGTCCCAACATTAACCATAGCAAATTTACATTTAGCAGACGCTTTTATCCAAAGCGAAACAATTCTCGTTTAGCGCATCAATAAATTTGCTGGAAAGATGCCAAACTGCATCTGAGGCTGTATCTCTGCAAAGCTTTGACATATTGACACCAAACTTTGTATGTGCCATTGTCACCTCGCACTGACCACACCACATCAATTTGGTAACAGCGCCATCTATTGGTCAAAAGTAATACACCATTCATTAACCATTAATAATGAAATTTCCATCAATTCTAATAACTTTTATTGCATTAGCCTATTGTGATGAAACTGGTCTCAAAATATTCCTTGGGTCATGCTGAAAACATAGATACCAATTTTACCATAGTCGGCCGAAGTTCCTGTCCACCATTTTGATTTATGTTGAAAACGTACTTTTCCGAACTCCTCTTAGACCGTTGGTCCAAATTTCACCAAAATCGAGTCCGATCATCTTCAGACTGTGCTGACAAAAAGTTTTCGTACAGCGCCGCTACAAATTTGATGCGTGGTGCCAAAATGACTCTGAGGTAGGGATGTATCGATTACCGGTTTGATGATAAATCATGATAAAATTCCCCACGGTTAGTATTACCATTTCATCTTTTAATTATCATTAAAACCGTATTAGATTACCGCGATAAATAAATACTGTCCAGCATAAAGCACAGTTTTAAGTAACAGTCTCACATGCGCACAGCATGCAGAGTAGTTCCGTTTTGAGTGAAAACAGGGCGGAAATGCTGGGAGGTTTTAAAAGAGTGCTAAGGGAATTATACAAATGAATATATGAATGAATTAATTATATGAATGTACCTCTGAAGGTTCTGACTGTCTTCAGAAACGATGCGATGGCATTTTGTTTTCATCTTCACTCCATGTAATACGTAAAGGAAGTGTTCTTAATCGCTTTATTTGAACATTTACATTAGATATTTGAACATGCTATTAAACTGTTGTCAGTCAAGTTGTCAATTAAAATCCGAACATCATTGGTAATGTTATTGTTTTAGTGTTTATGCAAACAAAAAGTCATTTTATTTGTTGTTGATTTAAATATAAAACTTGGTGAAGTGATTTTTGTGTCAGTACTTTTTTAACATCTCCAGCACATTTTAACAATACCGTGATCATTCTGATAACCGTGATAATTTTGGTCACTATAATCGTGATAAGAAATTTTCATACCGTTACATCCCTACTCTGAGGCTATATCTCTGGAAAGCTTTGACGTAATGACACCAAACTTTGTGTGTGCCATTGTCACCTCACACAGAACACACCAAATTGATTTGATTACAGCGCCACCTGTTGGTCAGAAGTGATAAGCCATTAAATCATATTAATAGAGGTTTTATTTATGATTTTTCAGCCATTTCAATTACAATCATCCTAAAATTGCTTTTATTACTCGTTGTATTTGGTCTGATGCTCCATGCCATGCTTAGCTCCTCATTTTGCCTCTGTAGTGCTTGGCCCCTTAATTGCTGCTTGCAGCTATATTGTTCTGATATGCATCCGGTTTCCTTCCCAACTAATTGTTTACTAAAAACATATCATACTGTCTTTATGTAAATACAAGAAAGACATGGCAAGTTCATGTTGTCAAATGGAATAACCCCCCAAAAAAGTTAACATTTTCATGGTTCAATAAATAAATAAATATTGTTAAAACCATTTTAAAGGGGTGGTTGATTGCGATTTCACTTTTTTAACGTTAGTTAGTGTCTAATGTTGCTGTTTGAGCATAAACAATATCTGCGAAGTTACAAAGCGGAGAGTTCGATGCAAACGGAGATATTATTGTACAGAATACAGAGTACAGATATCTTTTAAAATTCTGGCAGTTTAATGCCTACAAAAACGGCTGGTAGGGACTACAACAAGTTACTTCCTGGGTTGGTGACATCACAAGCCCTCATAAACCCCGCCCCCGAGAACATGCAACAAAGGGGGCGGGGCC